TCTTAATTTGAACCATTCTAGAGAGCGAAGAGGAGATCTGGTAGCTTAGTGCCTAAGGCACTTGACTGCTAACTAGAAGGCTGGCAGTTCAAACCCACCAGCCACCCCTCGGAAGGAGAGTTGGGCAATAGTGATACTGCCTCGGAAACCCAAGGAGGGGTCACTATGAGTCGGGTCTGACTCGATGGCACATAACAACAAATGAGTTACAAGGTTTTCCTGGTAACACGAAATATTTCTAGCCTTATGTGAACACCAAGGATTGTTCCCTCTTCTGTTTATCGGTGGTGGCGTGTGTGGGGGGCGTGTCTTTCCCTGCCCTCAGGTAGCTTCTTTACATGCATGCAATGATCACTACTCAGACTCAGATTCGAGGTGGACCTTACACAGATCTCAGGGGCTCTTGCGTAACTCTCCCCTCTCTGGTATTCTGCCCTATGAATTCTAGCTGCTTTGGCCTCTCTACTCCCAGCTCCATTATCTCAAGTTAGGGAGAGTACAGGCTCTTCAAGCAACAAACCAAGGCAATCCTAGGGATCACTTCATTTGTTTCCCTCTCTAAGACATGAGTATCCTGCTCTGCAAGGCAGCGAATGTCTAACCACCATTGTTCCACTTATTCTGTCTGGTTTTGTAGTTGTTCCAGGCAAGAGGATAAATCCAGTCCCTGCTACTCCATTTTGGCTGGAAGCAGATGTCCTTTTTTCCTATTTTCTCATCTCCTCTTCTCAATTGTTTCATTTTTTTATGTAAAGAAATACGATTATATTTGTACCTCCAAATATAAATTTAGACAAATTTTAGAATACTTTACACACTTTTCTCTACCATGTTTTATCATCTCTTAATAATATATCCTAGTAATATGTATATGACATTAATAACATATCACAGTAATATAAAGATACTTCTTCCTTTATACAGTTGAAGAGTGCTGTATTATGGGAATGCACCATAATTTATCAACCAGTACCCCACTGAAGGCTATCTAGATTGTGTCTAGTTTTTTGTTGATTTGTTTGTCTATTTTGCTCTTTATTTAACAAATAAGGCTCCTATGAATAAATACATGCATCATTTCATATTTTTGCCTGAGTATCTTTTCCATAATTCATAGAATGGGCATAGCTGGGTCAGAGAATAATCCTGCGATACTGTCAAATCCTCACCAGAAAAGTATGACTGTGCCTATTTCCCCATTGTCTCACCATCAAAGAATGGTGTCATATTTTGAATGAGTGACAATCTAACAGTAAGAAAAGAATTTTCATTTATCTCATTAGGAATGAGATCAAGCATCTTCCAATGGTGAGGAAACATTTCATTTTCTTTTTCTGTCAGCCTGTTGGTCTTTTGTCTAATGTATTTTTTACAAATGATATTCTAAATTGTGCATCCTCTATAATGATGAGGTCCCTTATTACCTTTATTATCTGTTTGTAACTGGTTTTGGTTGACTCTCTTTGAAATGTCTACTGCACCCATGTTTTCCCTTCCACACTCCTTGTCACCACCCTAGGCAGACATTCATACTATCTACATGTTCACCACTATCTACATGTTCTTCTTGATTCTTGTCAGTTCCTCCAAGGCAACTAATAAAGTCCAAAGATTTGCTTATACCATTCTCTCCACTGTGTGATGATATGAAGTTGGAAAAAAGGTGTAGGCAGTGTCTGATCTCCTCTAACTTCACAAGGAGGAGAGAAAATCAAGATGAACAACCACAGCCCAAGGCTGGTTCCTATGAGGCAGAGGTCAGACATGCCAGCACCCTCCAGTCTTTTTATCACTTCTGACACCAACTATTCATCCCATGGCACTTACTACTTCTCAGTTGCGTTTGCTAATTCATTGCGATGACCACACAGAACCCACACACTATAGTTAATGATTATGGGATTTATTAGAGAAGTAACAGGTTACAATTTAGGATAAGAAATGACTCAGGGAGGCAGACATTTTGGAGAAATGATTCTCACTGTCTCCTTAGGTAAGGATACTCAATAAACCTTTTGTTTTCTCTCTTCAAAAAGAAAAAAAAAAAGAAATGACTCAGGATACAGTTCTTCAATTAGGATGGCTTCCTCTAGCTGTGCCACAGGCATACTTCTCTCTTGCTTTGGCCTCTGCCCTGGTCAGGAATGGGTTCCAAAGGTCTTCTGGCTCCCAGATAGGTGCCCAGCAAACCTCCTGCCAGAAGACACTCAGCTTTCCAGCTCTGTGGGCCAGGAAGCCCATCACTCTGTCTCATGCCAGTCTCTTGATTCTGTTGGTTCTGCTGCCACTGTCTCTCTGCCATCTCAGTACAAGGATATCAGGTCCAAGAATGTGCTCTCTATTCTCAGTTCTTCTTCTGTCTCAATGGTAGTAAGATCCCTTTTTTCCACCTCTGTTGCTGGCTGATTTTAAGGCTAGCATAATGGCAAAATTGCCCACTCCCAACACTATGGTTCCATACACCTTATTTCCATGGTTCCACCTCTACAATGTTGCCATGCATCTTATTTATATTGTTAACAAGGTATCCAGTGCCCTTAGTGGGACAGCAAGCACTTCATATTTGCATAGTCCCACCAATCATCTGGTGGGAGTCACAAAGACCATGGCTAGAAGACTCATATTGAGCAATTCACTGCACAAGAGAAATCCATTCTCCTTGCACAGATTCAAGAACATCCTTAAATTCTCCAGTTCTATAACTTGAGTATTATTATTCTGTATTCTCCTGCATATACTATTGAGACAGACTATCCATTAAAAATGAAGAGTATACTCCCCATTCAACCACATCTTCATTGCTTTAATGCTCTTTTTTCTCTTCTCCACTCATCTAAATTATATAGAGTAAGTTAAAGGGGAGAAAATACCCTGGGTTTTTCAATAAATCCCACCTTCACTCAACAAACATTCATTCAGAGCATTTGTTAGGTACCACTCTGGGTGTAGTGGATAAAGCTGACCAGAAGATCAGCAGTCAAGTAGGTCAGCACTTCAAACCCACCAGCCACTTTGTGGAAGGAAGACTGGGTGATCTACTTCCATAAAGATTTACAGGCTTGGAAACCCAATGGGGGCCGCTATGAGTCAGAAACGACTTGATGGCAGTGAGTATAGTTGTAAATATGAATAAAAAACAGTCTCATAGAATTTACAGAAGGCTGAAAAAAAGAGATACAAAGCAATAATGACAGAATGTGATACACTCATCAGAGGCATGCACAAACAGTCTTGGAGCAAAATGGAAGAAAGGATATATTTTGTATGTGGTACCTGTCAAAAAAGATATCAGTGATAAGGCACATCTGGAGTGCAAATGTAAGTATGAGCAAGAGTTTGCTGAGCTGACAAGGGAGAAATAAATATTCTAGCAAGTGAAACAGCATGATAAATGGTATATGATTATTCTTCTTCACACCTGCTTTGAACATTCTAGGAAGAATCACTTTCCAAACTGACAGTGTGACATCAATCTATCTGGGTTTCAATTGCCTCATGTTTAAAAAATTTACAAAAATAGTGTCTACCTCACAGAGGCCTTGTGAAGCACAAACAAGATAACAATTACAGAGCACTCAGAAAATTCCTGACACACAGTAGGCTCTCAATAAATAGTAACCATTAGTATTATCTCACCTTTCATTGGAAGTGTATGGAACTTAAACACATAGTTATTATTGTGTTCACTAATCACATACTTTAAATAATTTCCAAACTCATTCCCATGTATGTATGTCTTGTTTAATTGTCTATAAGATAGGAATTAAAGCTTAATCTCTAACCTCTTTTATATCAAGCAAAATATCTTAAAAATACATTGTTGACCGACAAATACTCAGACTACAACAAAATATACTTGGAATAAAACTTCACTTATACAGGCTCTATTAGGTGTGTGGTTCTATCAAAGGATAGGCAAAAATTACTCTCTCATGATATTCTATATCTGAAGAACATTCCAGCAATAACTTAATAATTTTTTAAAAGATCCATTGTGCCAATGTATGTTACTATTTAAGTGTTATAAATCATTATGTAATAACTGGTTCAAAATGCATAGATTCAATTGTTGTTGTTGTTATGTGCCATCGAGTCGGACCCAACTCATAGCAACCCCCTCTTGGGTTTCCAAGGCAGTATCACTACGGAAGTAGATTGCCCCATCTTCCTTCCGAGGAGTGGCTGGTGGGTTTGAACCGCCAGCCTTCTGGTTAGCAGTCAAGTGCCTTAGGCACTATGCTACCAGAGCTCCCAACTCTGATGGTATAGTGCCTAAGACATTTGACTGCTAACTAGAAGGCTGGCGGTTCAAACCCACCAGCCACTCCTCGGAAGGAAGATGGGGCAATCTACTTCCATAGTGTTACTGCCTCAGAAACTCAAAGAGGCGTCCTTCTGAGTCAAAATAGATTCAATTATATAAGACAAACAGGAACTTCACTGAGATTTGATCTCATCGACTATCCAGGAAATCAAAGAAATCACAGTATTCGTCATTGTACACAAACTGTATCTTCCATTCTATTTCCGTACCAGCATTCCACATGTCTTACTTTCAACTTCTTTGACACCAAAGGACATCTAGGCATTATAAAATCCATTCTTGACATATTGCCCTGGAGTTAAATTCACAATAGAGAAAATAACACTCATCAAATACAATGGATAAAAATGTCATACAATGGCTGCACTTTAGAAGACACATGAGGCAAAAGAACTCTGGGAGCTGATTCACCTAGCTCAACCAAATTGGAGAGATCACAACATAACAGGAAAAGGAAATGTGTCGTTTCTGTATACAGGACTAAATTATCTAATTTACTAAAACTAACTGACTTACTATTTGATTTTCTATTAGGATAAACAACAACAAGAAGAGTCCTGCACATGGTCACAGTAGCTCTCAGCAGGGTATAAAAAGCAACAGAGGACAAGGAGACGTCAAACTTGACAACCTCCCTCTCCTGGAAACACACCCAGAACCTCCACCCTGTGACACCATGGTCAACTCCTGTTGTGGCTCCGTCTGCTCTGACCAGGGCTGTGGTCAAGACCTCTTCCAGGAGACCTGCTACCAACCCAGCTGCTGCCAGACCACCTGCTGCAGGCCCACCTGCTGCCACCCCAGCTGCTGCATCTCTAGCTGTTGCAGCCCCACGCGCTGTAGTCCTAGCAGCTTTAGTTCCAGCTGCTGTAGACCTACCTGCTGCATCTCCAGCTGCTGCCGCCCCTCCTTCTGTGGTTCTAGCAGCTGTGACTCCAGCTGTTGCCGTCCTTCCTGCTGTGGCTCCAGCTGCTGCCACACCTCCTGCTGCTTCCGCCCTGTCTGTGGCCAAGTCTTCTGCCACACCACCTGCTATCACCCAACCTGTGTCATCTCCACCTGCCCACACCCCATGTGCTGTGCCTCCTCTTGCTGCTGAGCCCCCAGCCCTAGATCAACCCCTTCTTCCACCTATCTCCTGCTGTTCTGACCATTAGGACACATGGAGTGAGACTGATGTTGCTCAACCAGTTGTGTCTCAAGATTTTAACAAACCAATCACAGGCCACTGACTCTGTGAGCACATTCAAGCCTCATTTCAAATCCTTCTTGTGGATCTCTGCTTTATATTCACACATGAATTAACTTCTCATATAACAACTACTGAATTGGCAAATTCTTCATATATTCTTCTTTTTTAAGTTTTAAAACATGCTATAAAGCTCAAGAAGTTGAAGACAATTTCAGTATTTCTACATCACAGATTTTTATAATCTTTCTTTTAACTATAATGAAGTATCCCCTTTATAACTCCTGCTCCCCAAATATGTCACCTCTCTGAAGATTGGGCAATCTGCTTCCGTAAAGATTTACCACCTCAGAAACCTAAAGGGGGTTGCTATGAGTTGGAATCGACTCACTGGCAGTGAGTGAGTGAGCTATGCCTAAATAAACCACCACTCTCCCAAACAGAAAATCCACTGTGACAATGCTCTTCTTTAAGATTTTATATTCAGTCTGGACAATTGTATTTTACCCTACACCAAGACAGACAACACAGCTTTGTTAATTTTACATTAGATACTAAGTCACAGTACTCACAACCTAGTTTTCACTAGTACTTTCTTTAATTCCTAACAAAACTGAAATCCTCAGAAATGTGTGGACAAAAAGTAGAAAAATCAAAATTTTGTATAAAGACTGAACAAGAAATATTCAATGGGACAACATCTTTCTGATATATCTGTGAAAATAATCATGAGGATAAAGGACTTGGCCCTCAGAAGCTAGAGGTGTTGATTTGGAAAACCATAATGAAAGGCTGAGAGTGATAAATCAGAATTAAGGGATAGATTTGAAAGCCAGAAGGTTTCAATGGCAGCATATAAATAGATGCTCATCTCCTGCACCCACAGGGCAGAAAAAGCTGAGGACCAAGCCTAGGCCTTAATCACAGGAGTAGCAGAGCTCCAGATGTGGCTGTTCTCTCACCCTACTCAGTTCTGTCATGCCAAGGTCAGGGCTGTCATTGGGAAAGAATGGAGCCCTAAGATATGGACTGGGGACATCTGAATTGATGCATTTGAAGATGTTGAATTCTGAGATTTTCTTAGAAGAAAATATGGGGTTGTAAAAGTGGTCCAATCCTTCCTAGTGAAGTCTAGTGCCACCTCCTTTCCTGAAGATGATGCAGAGGCCTCTGTCTTAAAGGACAACACATGCTCCCATCAGTATCTCCTCCTTCCTCTCTTATTTGCCACATGCCAGTAACTAAGTTACAATACAACCCATCCAGAGAACAGCTAAGCCTACTCATGGGAAACTATACCCAAAGGGTCTGAAAGATCTTAATTTTTTTTATTTTGATATTGTTGTTGGAAATATAGACACTAGAACATAACCCAATTTAACACTTTTTATATGTACAATTCAGTGACACCATAGTGTCTAAGGCATCTCACTGCTAACCAGAAGGTTGGCAGTTCAAACCCACCAGCCACTGTGCACAAGGAAGACTGAACAATCTACTTCTATAAAGATTTACCACCTCGGAAACCCAGTGGGGGTTGCTATAAGTCAGAATTGACTCAATGGTAGTGATTTTCTTTTTTTTTTTCACATTCTTCAAATTGTGCAACCATTCTCACCCTCCTTTTCTGAGTCATTCCTCTCCCACAAACAAAAACTCACTGTCCCCTAAGTTTCCTATCTCTTTTGGTTCTCTAGTGCTACTATAACAGAAGTACCACAAGTGGGTGTCTTTAACAAAGAGGAATTTACTCTCTTATAGTTTAGAAGGTTGGGAGTCTGAATTCAGAATGCCAGCTCCACTAACTGGGTGAAGGTCCTTGGGCTTCAGCTCTGTCTCTTGTTCCAGGCCCACTGGAGCAGGAAGCTTCTCTGAACTCAAACAGCTGCTGGCTGCTGAGGCTGACGAACCCAAGGTTGGTAGGTAAAATGGCACAATCTCAACATCAGTGGGTCACAAGGCAGGCCACTGGTTCAAGAACAGGAACTAAAGATGAAGATTCAGCCAAATGCTGGACCCAAAATGTGCCAACAAGTTAGAGACCTTCGTCAAAGCTTCTCCATATATGCTGGAAGCAGGCGACACCTTGAAGGCAACTAATGGGCTGCTTACAGCAGATTCCACCATGGAGTGGATTATACCACATCCAGTCTCATCATGGGGAATAACCACATCCAAAGGCCGATCCACTCAAAACCATGGCCCAGCCAAGTTGACACACAACCTTCACTCCCACACTATCTAATCTTGTGAGTTGTTATTGTGAATCTGACACCATATACATAGATCTGACACTATATACATAGATCTTGAAAGAGCACAATACTCAAGGCAGACATTCTTTACTAGCTAAGCTAAACCATTGTGTAGTTTTAAGATTTCAGAGGAAGTTTTTGGTTTAAGTTTTAAAGGTTATCTCACAGCAGTAGTTTCAGGGGTTCATCCAGCCTCCATGGCTCTAGAAAGTCTAGATTCCATGAGAGTATTAAATTCTGTTCTGCATTTTCTCCTTTTGCCAAGCCCATTTCATTGGTAGTAATGGAAGCTTCCTCAAGAAAGGACATATTGTCTTGTCATCTCTCTTTTTGTGATGTTAGTAGCTTTTAATGATCATTTCCTTTGGATTGGAATGGCTAGGTCATATAGCAGATGTTTGTTTAACTCTTTAAGAAACTGTCAAATTGTTTTACAAACAATGTTATACTTCCAACAGACAGATGTATGAATGTGACAATGGCTTCACATCATCACCAACTCTTGATATGGTCAAAACCAGAAAAAAATAAACTCATTGCCACTGAGTCAATCCTGACTTTTAGCAACCCCTTTTGGGTTTCCGAGGCAGTAAATCTTTATGGAAGTACATTGTCCAGTCTTCTTTCCGTGGAGTGGCTGCTGCTTTAGGCACTATGCCACCAGAGCTCCTTGACTGTCGTGACATGATCAGTCTTCTTAATTTTAACCATTCTAGAGAGCAAAGAGGACTTGAAGCACTTACTGATGATGATCAAAGACTACAGTCTGCAGTATGAATTATACCTCAACATAACAAAAAATGAAATCCTCACAACTGGACAAATAAGCAAAATCATGATAAATGTAGAAAATATTTAAGTCAAGCATTTCATTTTACTTAGATCTACAACCAATGTCCATGGATGCAGCAGTCAAGAACTCTAACAACACATTGCATTGGATAAATCTGCTGCATTAGACCTCTTTAAGGTGAAAAGCAAAGATGTCACTTTGAGGACAATATGTGCTAGACCCAAGCCTTGGTATTTTTAATCACCTCATATGCATGCCGAAGCTTGGAAGATCTAAGAAATGATGCTTTTGAATTGTGATGCTGGGGAAGAGTATTGAGCACACCATGGACTGCCAGAAGAATGAACAAATCTTTCTTGGAAGAAGTACGGCCAGAATGCTTCATGAAAGCAAAGATGGTGAGACTTCATTCAAACTTGTACTTTGGGCATGTTATCTGGAGAGAACAGTCTCTGGAGAAGGCTATCATGCTTGGTAAAATAGAGGATCAATGAACAAAGACCCTTGATGAGATGGATTGACACAGTAACTGCAATGATGGGCTCCATCAAGCACAGCAAGGATTGTGAGGATGGTGCAAGAACAGGTAGAATTTTGTTCTGTTCTATGTAAGGTCTCCATGAGTCAGAACTGACTCAACAACACCTAAGAAAACAAGAGAATGTACTTGTTGTTGTTGTTCAGTGCCGACAGGTCGGTTCTGACTCATAGCAACCCTATGTGCTTGAGTTCATCATTACAACTGCTCTGTCAATCCATCTCATTGAGGGTTTTCCCCTTTTTCTCTGACCCTCCACTTTACTAAGCATAATACCCTTCTCCAGGGACTGGTCCCTTCTGACATGACCAAAGTAGGTGAGATAAAGTCTAGCCATTCTCACTTCTAAGGAGCATTCTGGCCACACTCTTTCCAAGACACATTTTTTGCATTCTTCTGGCAGCCCATGGAACTTTCAGTATTCTTAGCCAACACCACAATTCAAAGGCATCAATTCTTCAGTCTTCCTTATTCATTGGCCACTTTGCACATACATATGAGGTGATTGAAAATACCATGGTTTATGTTAGGCACAGCACACTTTTCAAAGTTCCATCTTTGCTCTTTAACGCTTTAAAGAGGTCCATTGAGCAGATTTTCCCAGTGCAATATAACTTCTGATTTCTTGACTATTGCTTCCATGGGTGTTGATTATGGATGCAAGTAAAATGAAATCCCTGACAACTTCAATCTTTTCTCCATTTATTGTGATGTTGCTTATTTTTCCAGTTGTGAGGATTTTTGTTTTCTTTTCTGGAGGTGTAATCCATTCTGATGACTGTAGTCTTTGATCTTCATCAGTAAGTGTTTCAAGTCATCTTTATTTTCATCAAGCAAGGTTGTGTCATCTGCATATTGCAGGTTGTTAATGAGTCTTCTGCCCATCCTGATTCCATGTTCTTCCTCATAGAGTCCTGCTTCTTAGAGTATTTGTTCAGTATACAGACTGAATGAGTATGGTGAAAGGATACAACCCTGACACACACCCGTCTTGATTTTAAATTGTGCATTATCCCCTTGTTCTGTTTGAACAACAGCCTCTTGGTCTGTGTACAGATTCCTCATGAGCACAAATAAGTGTTCTAGAATTCCCATTCATTGCAATGTTACCCATAATTTGTTATGATCCACGCAGTTCAACACCTTTGCATAGTCAATAAGGCATACATAAACATCTTTCTGCTATTCTTTGCTGTATTCTTTCTGGAGTATATAAAACCGAAAAAAAAAAAAAAAAAAAAAAAACTCACTGCTGTCGAGTTGGATCCGACTCATAGTGACCCCTCCTTGGGTTTCTGAAGCGGTATCACTAAAGAAGGAGATTATCCAACCTTCCTTCCAAGGAATGGCTGGTGGGTTTGAACCGCCAGCCTTCTTGTTAGCAGTCAAATGCCTTAGGCACTACACTATAGTGCCATCCAATTATGGTTTTAATTTGCATTTTCCTAATGGCAAATGATGTTGAACATATTTTCACAGGGTTTATTTTCCATCTGTATATTTTCTTTGGTGAAGTGCTGGGTAAAAATCTTTCACGCTTTTTTAATGTTTTTCTTTCTGTTGTTGTTGGGGGACTAGTCTTATTATTGAGTGGTATGTTATATTCTATATACAAAGCCTTTGTCAAACATATATTCTGTAATATTTCCTCCAAGCCAGTGGTTTACCTTTTTATTTCCTAAACAGCATTGTTTGATGAGCAATTTTTTTTGGTAGAATCCAATTAACTGATTATCCTAGTGAGGTACAATTGAGTTACTTAACAGTTGGGCCCTATCTAGGCTTGCTTTTAAGCATTGTTAAACAAGACCAGAGCAACTTTTAGTCTAGGGCAAAAATAAGTCTCACTCCTGAGGCAGTACTTTTCTGAGTACTTTTGTCAATGACCTATGAGTTACAAGGTTTTCAACTCTAGCTCATGGGAAAGTGAAAAATTTCAGGCCCTATATGAACACCGGGAGCTCTGGTAGCATAGTGCCTAAAGCACTTGACTGCTAACCAGAAGGCTAGTGGTTCAAACCTACCAGCCACTCCTTGGA